CAGTGGTGTGATCTCGGCTCACTGCAACCTCTGCCCCTCAGGTTCAAGCAATTCTTGTGCCTCAGCCTCCTGAATAGCTGGGATTACAGATGTGTGCCAGCATGCCCTGCTAATTTTTGTATATTTAATAGAGATAGGGTTTCACCATGTTAGCCAGGCTGGTCTCAAACTCTTGGCCTCAAGTGATCCACCTGCCTCAACCTCCCAAGGTGCTGGGATTACAGGCGTGAGCCATCGCATTTGGCCAGTATCACTTTTTCTATGAAACTTTTCTTGTCTAGGTGAGGTTCCCTCTGCTAAGGTTCTATAGCATTTTAAACTTTCCTATTATAACACTTAATCATATTGTGTTGTAATCTCCCAGGCTAGTCAGTGAGTTCTGTGTGGTCTGACATGGTCTGTCTTGTTCATGGTTATATACTGAGGACCTAGCACATAAAAAATCTTATTGAATCAATCAATTAGTCCTCCTCAGAAATAAAATATAAATTACAATGTAAGTTCTCACTTTTATTAAGATAACAGTTTCTTTTAAAAGCAAAAGAAATGCTATTAAATTCCCTCAGAACCAATTTTGTGTTAGGTACTGCCCGCTAGAACCTTATAGCATAGTGGGAGACAGACACATAAACAAGAAGGAAGAAAGTGTGTAAGCAAGAATGCCTGGGACTGAGGGGAGATATTTTTGTTTGTCAGAGTCAGAGCACTTTTTCCGATGCTGTTTGGATAAAAAATCACAAAGAACAATGCTTGCTGTTGTGGACTACATGAGAAGACAAAAGAGGTAATGTAATGAGTGTTGCTTCTTATGTTTAGGATCTAGAGTGTAACTTGTTAACTATTGGCTGAATTTTAACATGATTATTTTAGGCCGGGCGCGGTGGCTCAAGCCTGTAATCCCAGCACTTTGGGAGGCCGAGACAGGCGGATCACGAGTTCAGGAGATCGAGACCATCCTGGCTAACACGGTGAAACCCCGTCTCTACTAAAATACAAAAAAAAAAAAAAAAAATTAGCCGGGCGAGGTGGCGGGCGCCTGTAGTCCCAGCTACTCGGGAGGCTGAGGCAGGAGAATGGTGTGAACCCGGGAGGCGGGGCTTGCAGTGAGCTGAGATCCGGCCATTGCACTCCAGCCTGGGCAACAGAGCTAGACTCCGTCTCAAAAAAAAAAAAAAAAAGATTATTTTAGGTGAAGCTGTTGCAAAGTGCTATATTTAATTTGTGTGATATTTATATCTCCTTGCAGTAATCCATATTCAGGATAGCACTTCAGTTAAATCAGTGTCAAGAACTCTCAATTCTAGTACCAGCTGTACCAGTAACAGTGTTACCTTTGTTAAATTATACAGCCTTCTTGGCTCCAATTTATTTCATCTATGTTCGGGATAGGAGCAAGTGTTTTTCCAAGTTACATTTAGCTGTATTATCACTCTTTTTACTTTTCTCTTTGCTTTAGTTCTAAGAAGTAAATAGAGTTGTGAAAATGTCTTCCTTATGTATCTTTATTTTAAGATGTAAGTTTCTTTACTGTGTGCAGTGGTCTCAAAATCTGTGGCAGCACTGTGCTGTGACAATGTTTATTTTCTTGTTTCTGGTAAATTGTTTTATAGTATAGTATCTTTGTTCCTGTTATTTCTCATGAGATTTTTAACAATGCATACAGGAATTGCTAGAATGGATGGTCTGACTGATCAGTACTGCTTGAGAGTTGACCAGAACTCTGAAGAAATAGTGTAGTAGGCCTATAATTTGAATAGGTAGGAATTGATATCTCATAAGTGTGTATGGTGGTGGTGGCAGTGGTTGGTAAAGAATGAGAGGGAGAGGTGATTAATTTAAAAAATTAAAAAATTAATTAAAAAATTCTATGTATTCTTAAACCATTCTTCTTCTCTAGTAGAAAAAGAAGTTTTATGCTTTTCAGTGTCTTTGCTTCTGGTTATTTTACCTTATAGTTTTATACCAGATTATCTTCTGAGAAGGCCAATCAGAAGCTTTAACGTAGTTGAAAGCATTTGTTTTCTTGGTGTTGGGAGGCAGTTTTACCTTTGAGTCATTCATTTCAGATTTACCATTGGAGTAGAATGGTGTTGACATTAGCAGGATTTGGAGAAGATAAAAATTCTTCATATTCCATTTTAATTCTGAATAAGATCCTAAAGAAGATTCCTTGAGAAAGTATGAATGGGATATAGAAAAGGGGGTAAAGACATGCATTCAAGTCCAAGCTTGTGCTGTGTAAAAATTACTTGTTATTCTGTACAGTATGTTGGGCAAAAACAAAGAACAACAATAAAACAACAACAAAAAATTGCTTGGTGTCTTTGAACCTAGTCTTATCATCTTTCAAAATCAGAATAATGTCTGCAGTGTCTTCCTTTCCATGGGGAAATTATTTCACTTCTCTGAACTTCAAGTTCCTCAGAAAATTAACTTTAGTTGAGTGCTTGCTATGTAGTAGGGTGTGCCTTATTCATCAGCTTTGCTGGCATTATTTAATTGTTGCACCCATTCTCCAAGGTCCATGTTGTTCCAGCATTTACAAGTAAGGAAACTAGGAAACTGAGGTTTAAGAAGTTAAGTTGCTAAGATCACACAGATGGCAGTAGGTAATATAGCTAGATTTGAACCTACCTGTATTGTACTTCAACACCAGTGCTCTTAACCACTACCATGTCCCATCTCTATAACGCTAGTTTTGAAAAAGATACTGTCTATGGTCCCTTTCAATCTTGACCTACCTGTTAACATAGTGGAAGGTTTTTATTAAGTAACTCAACCTAGGCAATACATTAAGGAGAAAGTAAGTCACAATAGGAAAGACATGTATTTGTGTCTTAGATGAAACAATATTTTTATTAAATTGACTACTTTAAAGTGTGTGTTGGGGGGTGCTTGTGTGCATTTGTATTAGCTACTCTGTGTATCCTATTGTTAGCCTGTGGTACATGGATTTCTTGGTAGAGAACAGATATGAACCCCAGTTTTATATCAAGTGATAGTCTATAGGTTTTATCAGATTGTCTGATCGGTTTGAGGGAAAAAAGAAAAACCAAAAAGATTATTAAATAGGACTCTTGAGCCATGTTATAATGTTTATAGGTATATATTGGGGAAATGTGGTTTTTGGGAATTTGTAATTTTCTGTTAAGCAGTTACTACCATTGTATTCAATATCAACATGCGTTTTTTTTGATATTGAAGTTTAAAAAAATGAGTGATATTATATCTAATTTTTCTTTAGACCTTCTTCAGGAACAATTTTTGATGATGCTTTCTGGCTGGATTTAAATTATCTAGAAGTTGCCAAGGTAGCTCAGTCTTGTGCTGCTCACTTTACAGCTTTACTCTATGCAGAAATCTATGCAGATAAGAAAAGCATGGATGATCAAGAGAAAAGGTAATGGAATTTAGAATTTTTGGTTTTTAAAATTAATGTTGGCATTGTCCCATTAAGGGTATACAGTAAAGATTTACTTTGCCTCCTGTTCCCCGTTTAAAAGACATTATTTAGATAGAAATTTTGTTTTAAAGTGAAATTATAATAAATTTTTAAAAAGGTATATGTAATTCCTGCTCTGAAACAATAGGAATGTTTATACTTAGGTATTATAAAAATTTAACAGATAGCAAATTCCTGTAGGACAGAGTCCATACTTAATTTTCTGTATATTCCCCATAACAGCCCTAGCATTGAGAACTTAATTTAAGGGTGATAAATATTTTTCAAATGATTAAATTATTTCCTAACTTCAATCAGATTAGATTTACCACTAATTCCTAAACTATTCAAGATTCATTTTGGATATAAAATACCCAAAATTATAATCTAAAATGGCTATAAAGTAATGTGACTGATTTCTTTCTGTGACTAAGTTTCATTTCTTTATCTACCTGTATTTCTAGTGAATTTAATTCGCTTTCCTCTGACTGAGTTTGCACTGTCATAAGAATCTAATAAATATACCCCTAGATCATGGTGAAAAACAAAAAATAAGAAAGTAAGAGTAAAAAATAAAGTAAAACACTTTATTATCCCAACTGCCCTCTTCAAATCTTTGTTCGTTTGAAATGGCCTGGGTCTCATTATTTTGCCCAGGCTACGGTGCAGAGGTGCGATCATAGCTCACTGTAGCCTTGATCTTCCAGGCTCAAGTGATCCTCCTGCCTCAGCCTCCAAGTAGTTGGGACTATAGGCACACATCACTGCATCCAGCTCATTTATTTTTATTTTTATTTTTCGTAGAAACAAGATCTTGCTATGTTGCTCAGGCTGGTCCCTAGCTCCTGCGCTCAAGCAGTCCTCCCACCTCAGCCTTTCAAAGTGCTGGGATTACAAGAATGAGCCACTGCACCTGGTCCCAAATTGTTTTTTAAAGCAGTTATACCCATTTTTGTACAGATATGTAGTTGGTAAGGAAGTGGATCAGTAGGAAGCCTTATATTTGAAGAAGGGAGCCAAAGTATAACTATTTCTAGGCTGGGCATAGTGGCTCACGCATGTAATCCCAGCACTTTGGGAGGCCAAAGTGAGAGGATTGCTTGTGACCAGGAGATCGAGACCAGCCTGGGCAACACAGTGAGACCTCAGCTCTACTAAAAATAAAAATAAATTAGCTGGACATAGTGGCTTGCACATGTAGTCCCAGCAACTCAGGAGGCTGAGGGAGGAGGATCACTTGAGCCCAGCAGGGAGAGGCTGCAGTGAACCATGATTGTGCCACTGCACTCCAGCCTAGGCGACAGATCGAGACCTTATCGCAAAAAAAAAAAAAAAAAAAGAAACTGGAGTAAGTATATAGGTAAATATTAGAGGCAGTATCACTTATAATAGTATTTATTTTATGTATTAGATTATTACTGTTATAGACACCATAACTGTCATGGTTTTAGAATTGAAAATCTAAATTTTCAATTTTAGAATTGAAAATCTAAATTTTAGAATTGAAAATTTAGAATAGAATGTCATATGTATAAAATACATAAAGTTAAGGCCTTGAAGTAGACAAATCTGAGTTCTCATCCTGACTGTCACTTTCTAGTTTTATAATCTTGGTTTAAGTGGATCCTGCTGATCTACTTCCTTTTCAATAGTTGATATCAGATGTCTTAATTTATATCTATTAGGTATTAAATTCTTATTGTGGTCTTTATTTGTGTGCCTGTAATTATTGGTTGAGTTGAATTTCAGGTAAAACCACTGACAGAGTATATAGTACCTGAACTGGAGGGCATCTGCTCTATTTTTAAACAATCCTGTCTCTTTATAAATAATCATATTTTTGCATATGGGCTTTCTATATGTAGAAGATTATTCTTAAAATATAATTTTCATTCACAAATTCCTTTTCCATCCTAGGTATAAATGGTATTAAGTTTTAAAGTATAAGTGATTTATTCTGTTTTGTTTGCAACCTTCATTAGTTTTTTTCTGTCAAAGTCTATAGTGTATGTATTCAGGAGCTTCCAAATAGTATGTTCTCATTAAAAGAGGTGTTCTTGTGACAAACAGAAGTCTTGCATTTGAAGAAGGAAGCCAAAGTACAACTATTTCTAGCTTGAGTGAAAAAAGTAAAGAAGAAACTGGAATAAGTTTACAGGTAAATATTAGAGGTTCTATTATTTATGACAATATTTATCTCATACTTTGGGTTGTTATAGACACTGTACAGATGCCGTGTGATTTTTAAACTGAATTTACTTATTGGATTAAGCACCATATATATAAATTTATGGTCCGAAGCTTAAGCCTTGGAGTAGACAGACTTGAATTCTAATACTGACTCTGCCACTAGTTGAGTTCCCTTACCTGAAAGACGAAAGTAAAACCACTTGTCTCAGAGTTTATACCATGCATTTTCTGCCATAGCACCCTGTTCATTTCCTTTATAGCACTTAGGGTTTATAATTATATATTTATTTGCTCGTTTATTGTATGTCACAGAAGAAGCAGATTGCCTCTTCTATACATTTCTTGATATCCATTCTTAAATTGGCTCATGTTACTGTCTGGGATGCTTACCGAATTTCTTTGGTCAACTCATTCCTTCTCAATGACAATTTCGGCTTCTCCATTCTGCTTAAACTTTTCATCTTCTCTTCTACGCTATTGCTTTCAGCCTGCCTCCTAGTTGGAGAAAATAGAAGGCATAGAGAGGAAATCTCGCCACATCCCACTATCAAACATTGAAATCTCCTGGCATCTGCTCCTTTAATAACCTTCCCTCACGTTACAGAAACAGTTTATCCTTCTATTTGAGACTAACTCTTCCTGTGCTTTGTTTTTTTATCTGCTCTTTCTCAGCTACTTTATTTTTTAATATGCGGTTCTCCCTCTGAACTATGTTCTGAACATTTTAAAACCTCTCCTGTTTAAAAATTCCCTTTCTCACAAATACAAAATAATTTCCCTCTTCCCTATGTTCTCTTTTAGGTATCACCCTCTCTCTTCCTTCCTCTCATAGACAAACTTTGTGAAAGAGTTGTCTTTATTCGCTGTCTGCATTCCCCCCCCTTCCATTTATTCCAGTAAAATAGCACTTGCTAATGTCTCTCATAAAATTCATGTTGCTAAGTCTGGTCACCTTTCATTCCTCCTTTTCCTTGCAGTTCAATTGCTTGGTCAATTTTCTATGCAGTATAGTTCCTAATTTTTTCTATTTTATGTTTTTTTATGTTTTCATTTTTATTTAATGGAGATTGTTTTAAACAAAATCTATCTTTTCTATGTAAATTTTACAGCAAAGATTTCAGTAACCAAACTACTTTATCCATATCAAATTTTACCAATTCCAATACAGTTTTGTGCTGTTTTTCAAAGAAAAATCCATGACCTTTATTCCTACCAAATCAGTTTTCAAGAGTCAGACTTTGTAGGACTGTATTTTCTGATGTACAGTTTTTTTGTTTGTTTTTTGTTTTTCAGACAGGGTCTGGCTCTGTTGCCCAGGCTGGAGTGCAGTGGTGCAATCATAACACACTGCAGCCTCTGCCTCCCAGGCTCAAGCCATCTTCCCACCTCCGCCTCACAAGTAGCTGGGACTACAGGCATGCCCCACCGTCTCCAGCTAATTTTTGCAGAGACAGGTTTAGCCATGTTGCCCAGGCTGATCTTGAATTCCTGAGCTCAGTCTGCCTGAGCTACCCAAAGTACTGGGATTAAAGGTGTGAGCCACTGCGCCCAGCCCATGTACAGTTTTAGGTGTTGACAAGATTGTTTGGTTTTATTTGTGTGATTAGTTTTCCATGTGATAAAAGCCTGGTAGGTTGATACTTATTTCTTATCTAATTCATGCAATTGTAGGCAGTTCTTCTCAGGTAGACTACAATCCTCCTGTTGTCTAGGACCAGTCTGCTGTGTTGCTGCTGATCCAGATCATTGGTATATACAGTTGACCCTTGAACAATGTGGGGGTTAGAGGTGCTAACCCCCTGTGCTATTAAATATCAGGGTAAAACTAAATTTGTAGTCAGAAGTTAACTACTAATAGTCTACTGTTGAGCAGAAGCCCTACTGATGATATAAACAACACATATTTTGTATATGTGTTATATACTGTATTCTTAAATAAAGTAGCTTGAGAAAAGAAAATGTTATTGAGAAAATCATAAGGAAGAGAAAATGCATTTACAGAACTGTACCGTATTTATCAATACCGTAAGTTTACATCATCTCTTTACAGTTAATCATCTGTCTGAAATTTTAGGCAACCACCGCTGGTTGATATGTACTTTAGGCCTCAATCTACAGTACATATCAAACAATTCATTTTTTTCCTGTAATGGCATGACTTTTCTCTGCATCTTGGGAGCACCTCCAGCTACCCGTGGTGTTAATCAAGGCTTATAGTATTGCAGTAAACATAGTGAAAAAATACATGAGAACCTGGAGAGATTACTTTTTATTGCTATATACAATTTGCTAGAGAAATAAACTGCTCATGCAGAAATTATTAGTGTCACATGGCATTTTAAGTGGATACTCACAACACAATAATGCTTACCACAATAGCAACTGAGGTAGCTGCAAAATTATTACAGTAGTACAATATGTACTGTAGTTAATCTTATGCAATTATGATTTAATACTGCATCTTTACATTGGTTTACATTTGTCTTAACCGCAAATAATGCTGTGTACAGTGTGTGTGTGTAAGTTTTGATATATTTTAACTTTTTGTAATAGATTCGTATATATTTTATGGTAGTAAATGATAAAATGTATCATTTCAAATGTATACAAATGATAGAATGTATAGACTAGTATATACAGTTATTTTATGCATTCATGATATAACTTACTTTTAAAAAATTTTTCAGTAGTTCTAAACTGTGTGGTTTGTGAGTTTTTTCAAATTGTTGCAAACCTCCAAAAAGTTTTCATTATATTTATTGAAAAAAAAATCCACATATAAGTTGTCCTGCACAGTTCAAACTTGTGTTGTTTAAGGATCAACTGTATTTCAAAATCATTACATTTTATTTATATAACATAACATTTAGAGTTGGGAGTTACATATTGGTAATGATACAATTTAAAACTTGCTAAATGTATAGACTGATTTTTTTTCCTTCTTCAATTTTTTGTTGCTTTCATGTTTTCAGGATCTTCTCTTAGAAATCTACAGAAGTATAGGAGAGCCAGATAGTTTGTATGGCTGTGGTGGAGGGAAGATGTTACAACCCATTACTAGGTAAATTGCATTTTTCTGAACAATGGTATAGCAATTCTGTTTATGAAGGAGTTACGTGTGTGTAAAACCCAAAGCTATTTTTACAATCTTTTCTTACAGACTACGAACATATGAACACGAAGCAATGTGGGGCAAAGCCCTAGTAACATATGACCTTGAAACAGCAATCTCCTCATCAACCCGCCAGGCAGGAATCATTCAGGTACATTTTTTCCCAAATTTGGTAAAGTCATCACTAGTGTAGTGCTGAGGTTATTTCACTATGTTGGTGGAAATTTACACAGCCAGATAAACTCTAGAGATAAGACTAGAAGTTATCTGTTTTTCAGAGGATTAGGCTAAACATTCAGGGATACTCCTGAAGCAGAGGGATGCAGGAAAAAAAAGAGAAAAAATTCAGGGAGACACAGGAAAGTCAGACAGGTCATTAACCTAAAATATAGTGTAGATTTCCTGATCACAGTGTTGTTGGATAACAATAGAAGACATTGGTTGAGCATATACAGTATGCCAGGTAATGTACTTACTGCTTCACATGGAAAATTTCATGTGAACTATTTCTCATAGTTTGCAATAGAGTTGGTCCCAGAACCTGTTGTTTCTATTACTGGCTAATACTCCTTAGCCATTCTTCCATATTAGAGCCCTTTGAGCTCCATCTTTGTGTTTTTTGGGAAACATTAAACGATATTTTGGGATTAAAAAAAAATTTTTGGCCAGGTGCGGTGGCTCACGCCTGTAATCCCAACACTTTGGGAGGCTGAGGCGGGCGGATCACGAGGTCAGGAGATCGAGACCATCCTGGCTAACACGGTGAAACCCTGTCTCTACTAAAAATACAGAAAAAAAAAAACTAGCCGGGCATGGTGGCGGGCACCTGTAGTCCCAGCTACCTGGGAGGCTGAGGCAGGAGAATGGCGTGAACCCGGGAGGCGGAGCTTGCAGTGAGCCGAGATTATGCCACTGCACTCCAGCCTGGGCGACAGAGTGAGACTCCATCTCAAAAAAAAAAAATTTTTTTTTAGAGATAAATTGTCACCCTGTTACTGAGGCTGGAGTGCATTAGCGCGATCATAGCTCACTGCAGTCTTGACCTCCTGGGCTCAAGGGCACCTCTTGCTTCAGCCACCCAAGTAGCTGGGGCTATAGGTACACACTACCATACCTAGCTAATTTAAAAAAAAAAAAAAATTGTGGAGACAGGGTCTTGCTTTGTTGCCCAGGCTGGTCTCAAACTCCTGGGCTCGAGTGATCCTCCTGCCTCAGCCTCCCAAAGTGCTGAGATTACAGGCATAAGCCACCACACCCAGCTGATATTTTGGGATTTTAAGCGATATTGTGAACTAAAATTTGTTTATTTGTATGTTTGCTGTTTTTTTCTCTGGTTTTCTGTTGATATCTTTGATTACTTAAAAACAAAAATAACTCCTGTTTAGGCCTTGCAGAATTTGGGACTCTGCCATATTCTTTCTGTGTATTTAAAAGGATTAGATTATGAAAATAAAGACTGGTGTCCTGAACTACAGGAACTTCATTACCAAGCAGCATGGAGGAATATGCAGTGGGACTATTGCACTAATGTCAGGTAAGAAGAAATTTGACTTGATTTTTTTCTTTTTTTTTGCCTCTCTCCTAGTTCTAAACAACAACTGTTTTACTCTTGTTCTATGAATATAACAGGAGTTTATATATATATATATATATACACACACACACACACACACACATATAGTAGATGTTGCAAGCTATAGATAGTCCTAAATCCTTCAGTAAGATAGCAATAAGCAGTTAATGCACCTAGGCTTGAATTTTACTCTCTTCTTCCATTAGGACAACTTCACCCCACCCCTAAGTATTTCTAAAAACAGAAATATGAAAAGGGTTTTCTTATGAGAATCATCTCACATACTGTTTGTTGGACTGAGGCGTGTCAAGCAAGGTATAGGCATTCCTCTTTCTACTGCCTGCTACAAACATTTTAGTCAGTAAGATAACACTTATATTGACTGGAGGATCCACAAAGGACCGCTTATCTTTATTTATGAAATATTTTCTTTTATTAAAAAATAATACGGCTGGGCATGGTGACTCACGCCTATAATCCTAGCACTTTGGGAGGCCGAGGTGGGTGGATTGCCTGAGCTCAGGAGTTTGAGACCAGCCTGGGCAATGTCTCTACTAAAGTACAAAAAAGTAGCTAGGCGTGGTGGCGTGCGCCTGTAGTCCCAGCTGCTTGGGAGCCTGAGGCAGGAGAATTGCTAGAACACGGGAGGCAGAGGTTGCAGTGAGCTGACATAGCGCCACTGCACTCCAGTCCGGACGACAGATCAAGACTCCATCTCTTAAAAAAATAAAATAAAAAATAAATAAATAAATAAATAAATAAATAAATAAATAATACCTACTCAGGGCTGGGCACAGTGTGGTGGCTCAC